GGATTTGTAGCTTTACGCAGAGAGAAAGAGATCGAGAGAGAGAGATCGTCTTTTGCATAGGCGTAGGACCCCGGAGGGGGGGCTAGGAGGGCTTAGCCCCCCCCCCCTTGTTTGCAAATATATACATTACATAGGCATTGAAAATTGGGGTTTACCTAATTTTGGTGGTTAAGCCGCCCCACCCCCACTTTCAAAATAGCCCCCCACTTTCGATTTGCTTCCGACGCCTATGGTCTTTTGGAAACCAAACTTCTGGATTTTATAAAGATTCAAGAAATGGAGAGGCAATTGGAGAGCATAATGGGGTATAACTCATTGGTATTGGAGATGTCACTCAGATATTCAATGGCGTTCGGGAGAAGTGTTAAGCGTTGAGACTGCCAAACCCTGAAAAGAAAGCAGAACTCTATTTAAAAATGTGTTATGAGTTAATAATTCAATAACAAATTTAAGACCATCTTAAAAAATATATTGTCCTTTCAGATCTACTGTTTAAAAATGGCCCGGCTCAAAATACTTTTTGTTTACATACCAGGACACGATATTTTTTTCCAATTCTTTCCTCTTATTCCATCAACAAATATGTTAAAAATTTTTAGAAATGTTTTTTTTCCGACATACCCGATGATCCAATAATTTTACCCCAAGTCGGGAGAGGGTAAACAAACATTATTTTAAAGATGGCCTCACATGCATGAATTTAACTTGCTATATAAAATTAGAAAAGAAATAGTATAAGATTAAAGAAGACTTAAAATGGTATGAACAGGCTACAGGAGGTAATTTTAGCTGTAAGAGGGGGATCAGCCTTACAGAAAAAATTAACAAAAACAAAGCCAAAAAAAGTCACCAAAACTTATTTGAATATTCTTTTGAAAAGTACTTACTGGTAAAGCTTTTAAGGGTAAAACTTTTAATAGGCTTTATTTTCTATTAAGTGTATAATGAATTATTGCACCCTCCCCCCCCTCTGGTTTGTATTCATGATCTAATACAAAATGAAGGATGACTAGTTTTCTTATGGTGCAACTTTAGATCAAATCTCTCCATGCATGAACGAATTTGTGTAGAATTCAATTAAATACATGTAATTTGTGCATTTTCAATAATTACTTGTTTTCAATAAAAACACAAACTAAATTATGTATTTCCACAGACACCTCAAGAGTGGATAAAGTACATGTATTTATCGTCACCCCCCTTTTTGGAGGGAGTTTAAGTTGAGTTAATTATGATATGCTACCAGGTAGTATTAGAATCAAATCTACCATTTCGAAAACACTTAAATTATTTTGGGAGAGTATATTTGCTTATGGATTAAGGTAAAAAAATAATATAAAAAATGATAGATTTGTCGGAGAGTGTTTTTAAAATTATAGGATCATAACATTTTAATTATTAGGGGGAGAGGGTTAGCCCATCTTGTCAGCTTTTAGATATGGATTAGTCATGAAGATAAGTATAATATCATGTGTGTTATCCACATTTCATACATGTCAACAAGTGCCTGTGATATATCAGTATGACAGTATCCCGCTCTCACTATCCCTTATGGTTTAACACTATAGTCTGTCCCACCAAGTTACTGTAAGCACTTTTCGCATAAAATCTCAAAATATATAAATACCTTGGCTTTCAACCCAGTTCCAATCAATAGATCATTTTTTTCCCAACCTTCCACCATTTATCCGAACCCTCGAAGTCAACCAGTGTATACACACGGCGGCAAATTCAAAGTCTACGGAGATTTAACATTGTCAAAATGGCCACCACTTCGGAAGGGGATCATCCATTGTTCGTAATTTTCCGTACGTCGTCGTCAGTAAGGAAATGACTAGCCTGGTTCCCTGTCCCTGTTTTGCTTCGTTTACTCCGCGTCACTAGGGCCAGGTGGAGTACAATGGATTCAGGGCAAATCTGCCCTGAATCTTAGTCCATTGTGACGTCCAATATGGCTGCTCTTCCGGTGAAAACGTTCATTGTGACGTCGTATTTTTCTACGTCGTCGACGTAATGTGTCATTGTTACGTTGATATTTATTTCCGTAGTTAACGGCAACGGCTCAAAAACCCACGATTTAGCGCGCAATGTTCTGACCAATCAAAGGAAAGCATAGATTGTAATCCACCTGGCTCTCCTGCCTTGGCAAGGATGAGACAGGGGACCAGGCTAGGAAATGACGTCACACACGTTCGGGAGTGCTCTATGGTTATCGACGTCCGAAAAACCTATAACGCCCGAGACTTCCAAGTATATATTTATTCTACAAGAAATTTTACTTCTTCAACAAACTTTCATACCCAGACTGAGACACAAGGGACCAAAGATTCATAAAAGGGTTAGTCACTGCATAAAGGCAAAGGGGTATGACTCAATTCATACGTAACATTTCGATAGAAAATCGAGACTAGGCTACTGCAAATTTAGCTCAAGTAAAATTAGCCAACACGTAACATTAGAGATCAATCAAAGTAATATCACTAGGATTAAGATTTTAAAAATTATAATTGCTGCCTTACCTTAACGTTTCACCTTAGCTTTCCTTATAAATCCAATTCCTTTACGTTTGTTAAAAAACTTTATTATATACCTAATTTGTATCACCCAATTTTACTGTTGAATTTACGTTATCACGTGACGTCGTGATCCGATTTTCCAGATCACCAACATGTTGTTTTCTGAATCCATATCACCACTCTTTGAAACTGATGACGTAGTACGCAGAAATATGACGTTATTTTTCTTGCGCGTTAAAAAGTCCCTTGTTATTATGCTTTATTTTATGGATAAATGTTATGCAATTGATCTCTAAAGTTTTCTTTTGCTATATTTTGCTACTTATGAAGGGGATATAATAAATTTATCATTATAACAGTAACTTGATCCGAAGAGCCGTATCACGTCTCGTTGACAGGCGCGGATCATCAGATCAAACTCGACGCTTTGCCTGTCAATTCGACGTGATACGACCCTTCGGATCAAGTTACTGTTATAATAATATATATGTAACACACGGTAAAATAAGTCATATTATCGTTTCTATGTCACAGTATGTGAACAAGTGATGTCCTCACATGCACATGCCACAGTATTTCTTGACTTTGTTATGCTTCCAACTCTTTGAACACATAAATCCTTCGTTGATATTTTATTTTTAATCTCGGTGCAAAACAACGTTTGTTGTCTGCATCAATTTAAACTACGTCACCAATGAATTTTGACCTTGCCCTTCCAAACCTTCCTGTAATGTATCGGTGTTAGGTAAATTCAGACCCAGGATATACATTTTTGTTTACCTTAAATATAACAGAATACCAAAATTTAAAATATTTCTATACACATAAAATTAAAATACATAACGCAAGTGTGAAGGATTATGAATTTTTAAAAAATATTATAATTTTTTTCCTTTCTCTATTTCAATAAAACAATTTAACAGAAAGACTTTTAATTTTTATGAGTTTTCAGAACAAAAAATTTCATTGCAGGAATCTGAATGGCTGCCTGGTGCAACTACAAGGTAGAAAAGCACAAACATGTACATTATACATATTAAGCCATAAGTACCTGCAGATACATATATATTGAAGGTATGAAATAATGCAGGTTTCTTTAGTTTGATTTTTGAGTCCTAGCATTTTTTTTTTCCTTTTGTATTTGTAAATTTTCAAAGTAAGTTTATTCATTGACAGTTCCCTAGTACGCAAACATGCATATATGCCTATATCATATACCTAGTAGTCTATCAGCTCTGATACACATGTTTTGGACTAGGTGAGACAGTGCCTTGTAAGAGCAAAAAAAAATTATCTTGTTTCCTGCTACCAGCCTGAAAAAAAAATTGGGTAGGTAGGCAGGAAAATTATTTTATTTTTTAATTTCTTTTTATTTTTGATATGAACTAATACAAAGCCAAATTAA